CCAACCCTCCCTGCGAGACCCACGAGACGGGGACAACCAGCACGGCCACCACCACCACGGCCACCTCGCACCCCCCACCCGAGTCGGGGACAGCGGTGCCACCACCTCGAGGTGTCCCCCCCTGCGCCAACCCCCCCTGCGAGACCCACGAGACGGGGACGACCAACACGGTGACAATGACATCGTCACAGCTCTGCTCCAACCCCCCCTGCGAGACCCACGAGACCGGGACCACCAACACGGCCACCACGGCCACCGCGGGCTCCCGGCCGGGTGACACAACCACGGCCACCAGCGCTGCCACCAGCGCTGCCACCACCAGCACGGGGGGGTCACCGCCTTGTGCCAACCCTCCCTGCGAGACCCCCGAGACCGGGACCACCAGCACGGCCACCAGAGCGGGGTCCTCGCCCTGCCAGAGCCACCAGAGCGGGGCCACCAGCACGGCCACCACCGAGGGGGTGACAGCGTCCCCGCCCTGTGCCACCGCCACCAGCCCCCCCCGCGCCTGCTCCAACCCCCCCTGCGAGACCCACGAGACGGGGACGACGGCCACGGCCACCACGGTCACCGCCAGCATGGGCGCCAGCCAAGGTGACCCCCGCCTTGTCCCCAAACTGTCCCCGGATCGTCCCCTCCGCCCTTATTTTTGGGGTGGTCGCCTCACTGACCCCTCCCCGTTGTCCCCACAGAGCCCCCCCCGCCGGCTGCCAACGGGCAGGGAGAGGGGGAGACCCCCCCCAGCGAGGGTGGGGGTCCCCCTGTGCCCCCCGGGACCCCCAGCCCCGGCCCCAGCGGCAGCGGGACCCCCCAGCCCCGGGCGGTCACGACGGTCACTCAGTCCACGCCAGCGCCGGGGCCGGCCGTGCCGGTGAGCGGCTCTGGGGACACTGGGGAGGGGGTTTGGGACATTGAAAGGGGGTTTGGGACATTGAAAGGGGGTTTGGGACATTGGGAGGGGGTTTCGGGACATTTGAAAGGGGGTTTGGGACATTGAAAGGGGGTTGGGGACATTAAAAGGGGGTTTGGGGACACTGGGGAGGGGGTTTGGGACATTGGGAGGGGGTTTGGGATCACTGGGGAGGGGGTTGGGGACATTGAAAGGGGGTTTGGGACATTGGGAGGGGGTTGGGGACATTAAAAGGGGGTTTGGGGACACTGGGAGGGGGTTTGGGACATTGGGAGGGGGTTGGGGACATTGGGAGGGGGTTTGGGGACACTAGGAGGGGTTTGGGGACATTGGGGAGGGGGTTTGGGAACATTGAAACAGGATTTGGGGACATTAAAAGGGGGTTTGGGGACACTGGGAGGGAATTGGGGACATTAAAGGGGGATTTGGGGACATTGAGAGGGGGTTTGGGGACACTGGGGGGGTGTGGTGCCACCGAGGGTTCCCTGAGTACCACAGCAGTGCCACCAGGGACCTGCGGTGGCTCCGGAGGCCACCGAGGCCCCATTTTGGGTGGGGGTCTCTTCCCCCTCCCCTCAACCCCATTTCCTCTCCCCTCCCTCCCCAGACCATCTCGTCGCTGACCGAATCCCCCCCGGCTCCCCCCGAGACCCCCCCAACCACCACGCCCACCCCCCCCGGAGACCCCCACCCACCCCAGGACCCCTCCTCGGCCACGTCCCCGTCCCCCCCCGGGCCCGAGGCCGCCGCCGGGCCCGAGGCCGGGGGGTCCCCGGAGCCGCTGGCCGTGGTGGTGCTGCCGCCGGCCGCGGCCGAGGGCGGCCCGGCCGAGGGGCTGGCGCTGCCCCCCGAGCTGCTGGCCGAGGCGGGGGGCGCGGGGGGACCCCCCGGGCTGACCCCCGAGGAGCTGGCGGTCACCGCGGCGGCCGAGGCGGCGGCGGCGGCGGCGGCCAGCGAGGAGGCGCAAGCCCAGGCCCTGGCCATCCAGGCCGTGCTGCAGGCTGCCCAGCAGGCTGTCATGGGTGAGTTTGGGGGGTCCTGGGGGGGT